CGATTTCGATAACTATTTATCGATTTCTATAACCATTTATCGATTTCGATAACTATTTATCGATTTTGATAACTATTTATCAATTTCGATAACTATTTATGGATTTCGATAACTATTTATCGATTTATATATCTATTTATCGACATATATGAAATATGGGAAAATATTTGTCATGTTTACTTGAAACTTGAGTTAAGGCAGCTGCATGACAAAAGCTGAATGATATGACACTCTATGGAGGCTTCATCTATGCAATTTGTGGAGTATTGATTAGAATTTGCTCGCTAAATACTTTTATTTCATAAGGCTATGCCTTTGCATAGCCTTATGAATGTATTACAAAAATAAAACTTGAAACTTGAATTAGGGCAGCAGCATGACAAAAGCTGAATGCTACAATAACTACTTACCGATTTCGATAACTATTTATCGATTTTGATAACTATTTATCGATTTCGATAACTTTTTATCGAATTCGATACCTATTTATCGATTTCGATAACTATTTATCGATTTCGATAACCATTTATCGACATATATGAAACATGTGGAAATATTGATCATATTTGCTTGAGACTTGAGTTAAGGCAGCTGCATGACAAAAGCTGAATGCTACAAGACTCGATGTAAGGTAGATCAAGGCCAATGACTGAATAATATGAATTCATTGTTCATGAAATAAAGAAAAGTATTCATGATTCACAGAAGTATAAATGCTCTTAGTTTAGATCTTCTAGCAAATTTATGGCAGAGGCTAAATGCATGACAAAAGCTGAATGATATGACACTCCATGGATGCTTCATCTATGAAACTTGAGGACATATTTAGCAGAATTTGATCGCTAAATACTTTTATTTCATAAGGCTATGCCTTTGCATATGCATAGCCTTATGAATGGTTAAGAAACTGGGCTCAACTCGTCTAGTGAATGTTATTACAAAAACAAAAATTGAAACTTGAATTAGAGCAGCATCATGACAAAAGCTGAATGCTACAATAACTACTTACCGATTTCGATAACTATTTATCGATTTCGATCATTGTTTATCGATTTCGATAACTATTTATCGATTTCGATAACTATGTATCGACATATATGGAACATGTGGAAATATTGATCATATTTGCTTGAGAATTGAGTAAGGGCAGCTGCATGACAAAAGCTGAATGCTACAAGACTCGATGTAAGGTACATAAAGGCCAATGACTGTATAATACGAATTCGTTGTTCATGAAATAAAAAACATATTCATGATTCATAGAAATATAAATGCTCTTAGCTTAGATCTTCTAGCAAATTTATGGCAGAGGCTAAATGCTCTGGCACTGCATGACAAAAGCTGAATGATATAACAATATGACACTCCATGAAACTTGTAGAAACTTCATCTATGAAACTTGTAGAAATATTGGTCAGAATTTGCTCGCTAAATAAAAGGTATAGCCTTATGAATGATTAAAAAACTGGGCTCAAATCATCAGTGAATGTTATAAAAACAAAAATGGAAACTGAATTAGGGCAGATGCATGACAAAAGCTGAATGCTACGAGACGATGGAAGGTGCATTAATAAAACTTGTGGAAATATTGTTCATAGTTTATTCTTTCAGGAAAAAACATAGCCGCATGAATGCCCCAGAAACTGTGGGCCAAGTCTTCTAGTGAGTGTGACAAAAATAAAACGTGAAACTTGAATTAGGGCAGCAGCATGACAAAAGCTGAATGCTATAATAACTACTTACCGATTTCGATAACTATTTATCGATTTCGATAACTATTTATCGGTCCCGATAACTATTTATCGACATGTATGAAACATGTGAAAATATTGATCATATTTGCTTGAGACTTGAGTTAAGACAGCTGCATGACAAAAGCTGAATGCTACAAGACTCAGTGTAAGGTACATCAAGGCCAATGACTGAATAATATGAATTCATTGTTCATGAAATAGAAAACATATTTATGATTCACAGAAATATAAATGCTCTTAATTTAGTTCTTCTAGCGAATTTATGGCAGAAGCTAAATGCGAGGAGACTGCATGACAGAAGCTGAATAATATGACACTCGACGGATGGTATATTACAGACAGACGGAAAGAGCTATCAGCTCGTCGTCCTGATCACGAATTTATATACTTCATAGCGTCTGCCACGCCTCCTTCTGACTGTTACATACTCCTAATAAACCTATTATACCCTGATTCCCATTTTCAATGGCTCAGGGATAAAAATTCGCCAACAGCTGTAGGCAATTCAAGCAGTTCACATACAACAACAGCAGCAGCGTCTCCCCAAGCAGTGCAACACATTTCGAAATTCGCTTGAACTGCTTTACACATTCATCTGTACTGCTTCATGCACTTGCAACACTATTGTGAATAGCTGCCATTTTGCTTTTAGCTTTTTTGAGTAATTTAGTATTTTTTTTTTTTTTTAATATTAACAGTCAACATAATTTTATTACCGCTTCAGCTTTGCTGTTTGTAAATAATTTAATTGAGTTTAGTAAATTAACCTAATGACTAATTTGATAAATTGCTAGCGAATGCTCTGAGTAATTTATTTAGTCCAGTTTTCGGGATCATATGGATCTGGTGATTCACTGCAGATGCCATAGCTCCTTTTCTCTGTGGTACACTGTTTTGTAGCTACATCGAAATACATATCATCATCGCATTTTTTCTTGGCAACCATTGCACCATTTTTGCACTCAAGGTAGTGCTGGCAGCCCAGATCCTCGGCCAGCTCAAAGCCCGACTCACGGCCATCGCAACGATCCTCTTCGCATCGGCGTGAGGCGCGATCCTGACACACTTGCAGCTTCTCATTGAAGAACGTCTCCACGGGACATTGATGCCAGACTGGATCCGGATCCGGCACACCCGAGCCCAAGTCCCGACAGTAATAATATCCCCGACATGTGGCGCCATCGGCAACGAATTTGTTGCGCTTCGCCAACTTCTTGGTGCCGCACACTTCATCCGGATACGGATGCTTCTCACACGCAACCCAAGACTTCTCCAGGCAACCCTTTCTAGCCACATCATAGTAGAATCCAGGCTGGCAGGCTATTGTCGTATTCTTGCCCGCCTTGCATGTGAAATACATATTGCAATGCAACGGATCCCTCGTCTCCGCGCCCACCGGCATCACTTGGCAAAGCTCGAAGGTGACATTGCATGCTACGTCCTTGGGATAGGCGCACATCTTGGTCGTCTGATCGAACCACATGCCATAGTCACAGACACCCTTGCCAATCTCATTCGTCTTCTCGCAGTAATGCCAATTCGCACAGTTGTAGTCGTCGCCCACATAGCCCGTGGTCTTGGACGTGCACGGCGATTTGCAATACGTGTCCGTGGACTCTAGCGTCTTTTGGCACGAGCCCTTGGCCAAACTGAAAAAGGGTTTGTCACCTGTGCATGTTTCACCTGGTGTACTAACGGAATTCTGGCAGATGACTGTACGATCACAGTAGCCCGGCTTGCGCAATTTGGTGCCATCCGCGAAAAGGCGACAAATGTCTTGGCCATCGTTCAGGTATTCCGCTTGCCAGCTGAACCGGGCCAATGCCAGCAGCAACAGCAGCGGCAGCAGCGTTATCAGCAGCCAATCTGTAAAGAGTTAATTAAAAATTAATTAATTTTAATATAATAAAGAAGTAAAGAAACTCAAGAAAATAAGCTCCGAATTTTGTGAAATTTGGAGGAGCTATTCAAAATGTAACAAAAATCAAAATTGTATATTCCACACATGAATCTTTATTAAAAATTTGAAGACTCTAGCTCTAAAGATGGCCGAGCTATAATTTTGTATATCTAGTTTTTGATATGGCATGTAATCGATAACACAACAGTATTTATCGATTTGAAACCAAGGCGATATTTAAGAGCAACAAAAAATGTGTCAAGTCTTCAGAATTTATAGGCTCTGAGATTAACGGGTTGAAATATACGTATAGACGGAGAGACGAGCAGATAGACAGACGGTTAGACGAACTGATGGATAGACGTACTGATGAAAAGAGGAACTAACGAATGGAATAACGAACCGACTAACGGGCACGGAACGGAGAAGTGAATCGAAAGATGCACGAACAGACGCTTCAGTGTCTAATTAATTGATGTAGAATATTTGTGCTTTATGGCAACTGCCACGCCTCCTTCTGTCTGTTACATACATTTGTATAAAGGCTTTCTTTATACTCCGATTTCCTTCTAATAATATTCACTTTAATCACCATCGATTTACCTTGCATGTCTCAAGCGCCTCTTCTGTCTACAGTAAACAAAGTCAACAAACTAACTGCGGGCGCTTGATCATTTGGCATTATATACTCGTACACAGCTGGTTCACAGTAGATCGAGTTGGAGCTATATATTATGCGAAAGCAATTACTGTTTCACCCCAACAGATAAGATTCGGCAAGTCACATGCACACCTGACGAACGCCCCCAGCCAGAGAGAGATAGATAATTACTAAAATGTACGAAGATGTCTCTAAAGTATTTGCAAAAGTTTTCGTTTTATTTTTAGCTGGAAATATTTACGAGATCAGTTACTGGAAATCGCTGGAAAATCCCAAGAAATGATACTGAGTATCTCTTTCATTGGGAATTCTTGATGTCGAATTGATGAAACATGTGTTTTGTGGCATGATTAATTTGTACTCTATTTCGGTTTGTCCTAATTTATTATTAGCTAACGTTGATTTACAATGTGGCCGAATAATTGATAAAAGGTTCACAGTAATTATTTTCAAATTGCTGCCGCCTTTAATAACAGGTGTAAATAATTCAATTAGTGAAGCTACTACATGTGTCTCTTCAGATGATAAGGATGTTGACGTTGTGCCCCAGCACGTAAGCGAAAGGTTCAACTTAATGAAGGCTATTTTATACATATATATTGATATATACGATTTATAATTTGTTGGTATTTTTCTTAAATTTAAATTTGATTATTTAACAATTTCAATTTACCCATTGTATTTATTTTTATTCCCTTATTTTTAAATTTTTTATTCTTGTTGGTATTTTCTTAAATTTTTAAATTTAAATTTTAATTTAAATAAATATATGTACATGATATATTTATTTAAATTTAAATGATAGTTTATATAGTTATTTATTTGTTTTAATTTTAAAATTAATTAAAATTAATTTTTTAATTTACAGCTGATTTAGATGTTTATTAGTGTGTGACTTTTTGTATAATTTTAAATGAAATGATATTAAAACAAATAAATTGTTTTAGCGTCTTTTATAAGACTTTTTATTTTTTTCTTAATTTTTATTTTTGGAGTTTTTGAAGAATTTTAATATATTGATTAGACATTCATGTCATTTCAATTAATTTAAGTGTTATTGTTTATAAATAAAATGTAGTAATATCATATACTTTTCGTGACAACCCTAAATTAAATTTTAAAATACTAAAATTTGAAATATTTTAAATACTTTTCATTAATGAAATATATATCCTGCATGCTACTCGGAACAGTCTAATCACAGTAGTTGTCAAAGCAATGCAAACTACCATAGCTAATATACCTTTTTCTTACCCATCTCTTAGCCTCTTAACTGAGCTCAATAAATAATGTTCAACAATTGAGTCATTAAATTTTTTACTATATACACAAAATCAGTTCGAAATTTCTTGATTTATGGTAGTGCTTAGAACTAAACAGAAAATAAAAATTAATAAAAAAATATCACATTCCAGAATTGGGAAATTTTCTATGTGATATGTAAGTCATATAGATATACATATGTATGTATTTTATATATAATGTGAATCACATTGTGTAGTTTGCTGTTCGAATCAATGCGAAGTGTCGCTGCACTTTGGGGGCTTCCGAACCTGAACGCGGCTCACATACTTACAAAAAGAGAGACAGCAAGCATAAATATATATACATATATATAAATAACAGCAGATAAATATAGTTTATTAACATTTATATAGACAGTTCAGAACTTTCTTTCACAACATATTCATAGATCACTGTTAGACACTTGTTCCCATACACCGTTGATCGGTTCCAATAAAAAGCACTGATTTCGAATGGTGCTAGAATTGAAATGAAATGACTTTTTGGGCGTTATCTATGCACCAATCGATCTCAGTTCTTCAATTTGAACTGGTGTGGTGTTTGATGTCTGCTGGGTGTGTGGCATAATAGATAATATTATCTAGGCACTATTTCATTTTTTTTATTTATATAATTTTTTTTTTGTGCAGCGAACGCGATCACGACTGATAACGAGACGAGCGAACGTGTCACAGACGACTGTTTGGGCGACAGGCGCAGCGCTGCGCTTAAATCTGAGAAACCTGTTACACCTGAGAAGATTTTTACAATAGACCCGAGCGTACGCTTGTCCCTTACGCTCTGACTGTGCGTCGATCAACTCGTATTTCCCTTGCTGGACCCGGTGTCCTCCTTCTCACTATGCATATGCATAGCTGTTTATATACGTTTGTGTGCGTGTCTGTTTGTGTCTGTGCATACCCTACATAGGGCACAACAAACACTTACCATGTAATGTATACCCATAAACCGAACTTTTGCCAGCCATGGATCAAATCCATCATGCGTCTAGCCCCGAAAGCTATTTACATTTGTTGCTCTTCTTCAACTGCAGCTTCTACTCTTTCTTAAGGCTTAGTTCAGTCTTCTTTGCATTGGTGTAATTTAATTCAAGCGTACCTCAGCGTATGTTTCTCCAAAAGAAATAATTAGAATTGTCTCGGTCTCAGTTTCAAATGCGGATCCCATCTAACTCGACCCAAAGCAGGAAGCCACTCACCGCAGTCACCGCTGTGCATCAAGGTGCATAATTATTTATAGCTAACAGTACATGTCATACCTCATACATATATATTGTGTACATATATATTTATATATGTGCGATTTCTTTTCTCTATATACAGTTGACATCTGCTTCTGTCCATGTGTTTGTTTTGTGTCTTAATTGTGCAAATATCGCTTACCTATCAAACTGGCTATCAATGGCAGCAGCTATTTTGTGTCAAGTAGATCTATTAATACCCTTTAAGGCTATAATGTTAGAAAAGGCATCTGAAGTAATTAAAATGATAAAACAATCTGATTTATACACATTAGCACATACCGCGTTTTTATATATAACTGTATATATAAATAATATATAAATATAAATGATATATAATATAAT